TCTCAATGTGGACTGGATTCGCATCGAGTTAACACTCCCTGTAATCACTGCAGGAAGTGACTCGACGACCTGAATTTACATCCGGGCAAAGTCTCGAACAAGATGACGCTGCTGGGTAATAGAACAAGATAATTCACCCTTTACCTTTCGGCTCAGGGCATCAGCTACAACATTTGCTTTCCCCATATGATACTAAATCGTGCAGTCATAATCTTTAACGAGCTCCAACCAACGTTGCTGACGCATGTTGAGCTCCTTTTGCGTGAAAATATACTCCAGACTCTTGTGATCGGTGTAAATCTCGCATCGACCACCATAAAGATAATGCCGCCATATCTTGAGTGCATGTACCACTGCAGCTAACTCCAGGTCGTGGGTAGGATAGTTCTGCTCATGGGGCTTCAACTGACGTGAAGCATATGCTACAACCTGGCCGTCCTGCATAAGTACACACCCCAAACTCCGGTTCGAAGCATCACTATAAATAGTGAAACTCCGAGAAGGATCTGGAATAGTCAACACTGGTGCCGTCGTAAGCCTCCTTTTTAGCTCCTGAAAACTCGACTCACAACGGTCTGTCCACTCAAATGTCACAGACTTCCTCGTCAACTGGGACAAAGGGAGGGCAATCTTCGAAAACCCCTCAATAAATCTGCGATAATAACCTGCAAGGCCGAGGAAGCAACGAACCTCGGACGAATTCTTTGGTGCTGACCAGTTTTGGAATGCGGCAATTTTAGAAGGATCTACTTCAATACCTGCCTGAGTAATAATGTGGCCAAGAAAGGCCACTCGCTGAAGCCAAAATTCGCATTTAGAAAACTTTGCATATAACTTTTCACGTCTAAGGGTCTCAAGAATGGCCCTAAGATGCTCTTCATGCTCTTTCTGGCTTTTGGAATAGATAAGAATATTATCAATGAATAAAATAACGAACTGATCAAGAAAAGGATGAAACACACGGTTCATCAAGTCCGTGAATACTGCCGGGGCATTGCTGAGGCCAAACGGCATAGCCACAAACTCGAAGTGACCGTATCTCGTAGGAAACACTGTCTTAGGTATGTCTGAGTCCTTGATTTTTAGCTGATGGTAGCCTGAACGTAAATCGATCTTGGAAAATACACAGACGCCCCTCAACTGATCAATTAAATCATCGATTCTGGGAAGCGGATATTTATTCTTGATTGTCAACCGGTTGAGATCCCGGTAGTCAATACACATACGCATGGATCCGTCCTTCTTCTTAACAAAGAGAACGGGTGCTCCCCAAGTTGAGACGCTCGGTCGAATAAAACCGAGATTCAGCAATTCTTGAATTTGAGTCTTTAATTCCTGCAATTCCTTAAGTGCCATTTTGTATGGTGCCTTAGAAACGGGTCCGGCTCCAGGGATAAGATCAATAGAAAATTCCACCTGTCGGCTGGATGGACCGACGGGAAGCTGATCTGGGAACACGTCCATAAACTCACGAACAATGCGAATGTCATGAGGTGACCATGCTTTTGGCTCATCTCCAACGAGGCTCACAAGGTAACCCTGGCAATCACCCCGTCGAAGAATCCTCCTGGCTTTCGCCATAGAAATAACATGAGGCAGAGTACGAGTCCTGGAGCCGAAATAAGTGATCTGACCATCTCCCGGAAGATAAAGAGTAATCTCCTGGTCATGACATCGAATATCTGCGTGAAAACGTGTTAGCCAATCCATACCGAGTATGAGGTCAAAATCCCTCATCTCGATAACATAAGCATCAGAAGTCAAAATACGGCCGCCAATGGAAAGGCTGAGATTGGTGGCTCTAGCATCAGTCACTATCTTTCGTCCCGAGGCTAAACTCACCTCGAGAGGATTGACAGTGGTAAGAGAATGAACTCCTATGGCTTCGAGACATCGGCGTGATATAAAAGAATGGGTCGCTCCGGTGTCAAATAAGGCATAAATAGACACATCATTAAGAACAATCATCCCAGACATGGTACCTGGATGCTGGTCAGCCTCCCTCTGGTCAACTGCAAAGACACGGGCCTGTTGTCTACCGCGTGGCTGTTGCTGGGGTCGTGGTGGCTGTTGCCTGGGTTGCTGTTGTTGTTGAGGTCGTTGAGGTGGTTGTTGTTGATGCGGTTGTTGTTGCAGTCGTTCTGGGCAGTTGGGGCTGATATGGACGGGCTGGCGACAAAAGAAACAAATGTTCTGGCCCACAAGACATTCTCCACGATGACGTCGTCCACATGTGGGGCAAGCTGGTATCGGTGGCTGCTGCCTCTGGCGGTTCCTGCGATCATCTGGGTCCCCTTTAAGCCTCCTTTTGTTCTTATTCTTTGTTTGTTGGGCAAAGTTGGGATGGGCAGGTGGTTGAGCAACTGGCTTGGCTGGAATCGGAATAGCTTCTCGTCAGATACTGGCATCCACTTCTTGAGCAATGGCGACTGTGCGGGCGTAGGTCTGGATGTCGTGACCTACGATGTTATGACGGACTACTGGGAAAAGTCTGTCAGTAAAATGATGGGCTCTCTTTGCCTCCGTACTCACAAGATCGGGTACGAAGGCTCCGAGTCAGGTAAACTCTCTCTCGTACTCGTCAACAGAACGAGTACTCTATCTGAGTGCCAGGAACTGGCGCTCCATCTCTGCTCGGTAATACGAGGGATAGTACTTCCCGCGAATCAACTCCTTGAATTGGTCCCACGTACAACCTTCTTTTTCACCTGGACGCATACTCCAATAGGCATTCCACCAGAGTCGGGCATCACCGGTCAGCTGGATTTGTGCGCATAACACGCGATAACGATCAGGACAGTCCATGACCTCGAAAATAATTTCAAGGCCCTGAACCCATTCGTCCACTATACGAGGATCTCCTTGGCCGGAAAATTTTTCTGGATGGTAGTCGCGGAAATGCGCGACCACTGTGGCCTGAGGGAGCTCCTGGTGATCTGGATCTCTACGAGGAGGCATCTGAATATTGAAAAAGATCAACGTAATCAGACGCAAGGAATATAATATGATAGAATACTTTTACTGATTATTCATGCGCTCAGATCTCTTGACGAGTTGCTAAAATTAACCAGATAAAACTAGAGTCGAATTATCAAATAATTGAGACAATCGACTATGTTCTGAAAATACTTGATCGAGCATCTTACTGGTTTCTAGGGTTAAATATCTGGCACCCTTTACTGAGCATAGACTTAAGCATTCGTTTAGATATATATAAACTGTAACTCAGCACTTACCTGTAGTTGGCGAGGCGTGAGCGTAGCGTGGTCGGGTCTTTTCTAAAAATTTCTAACTTAAAAAAGTATTCAGATACACAAAAACGTGCTCTGATACCATTTGTAACACCCCGCTAGCTTATTTAAAATCAGAGTCAATTTTCACAAATTTCTTTCTAAAAATTAATATTAACTTGCGAAATCGTGATTCGAGGTGCTACGGAGAAACATTTCTTTTCTAAAATTA